CACACAGTGGTTAGCACTGGTGCCTCACAGCGCCAGGGACTCAGGTTTGATTCCACCCTCAGGTGACTGTCTATGTGGAGTTTGCATGTTCTCCGTGTCTGCATGGGTTTCCTCCGGGTGCTCCGGTTTCCTCCCACAGTCCAAAGATATGCAGGTTAGGTGGATTAGCCATGCTACATTGCCCGTAGTATTTCGGGGATTAGGTGGGTTATGGGGAATGGGTCTGGGTGGGATGCTCGGAGAGTCGGTGTGGACTTGTTGGGCTGAAGGGCCTGTTTCCACGCTGTAGGGATTCTAGGATCTAGAACACGAAAAACATCTCTATTCTTCCTTTCCTGTGGCACTATGATAAACACTCTTTTTCAGATTGTTTCTCTTCTCTTCACCAGCTAACAATGTTCCAGTGCTATTCTAAGCAACTGTGAGATATCCTGTTCGAGATGTGTTGTTCCTAAATTAATATTTTCTCAGGAAAAAAAAAAGTGTACAGTGGCAGCAGTATGCTATGTCTGCGCTGCAATTGCATTTCAGCTGAAATTTCACTTCTGATTTCAATGTACTCCTTCACATTTTATCATGTTCACTTCTTTTACATGCATTCTCTGTTTCTCATTATAAACTTTGCTTGTTTCTTTGTTTTAACCATACGGTCATTTTATACTCATCAGCTTTACCAGAGAGCATCACAATCAAGCCTAATCTTCTCCTCAACAAATATAAACTGTCAACAGGAATTGGAATTAAAAGCCATGATTCAATTTTCCCCTTAGAGAATATGCTAAATTAATTGTATTATGGCCCTCAGCAAACTCAACCCAGGCCATAGTTTCAAACTTTGAACACAGCCGAATAACTTTAAGAATATTTTGATCTTGTAAAATCATTTTTCTTTAAAAAGAACTCCAAGAATTGACAGTCAAACACTGTACTTCTGTATAAATACAAGAAAAGATGTGGGCCAAGTGAGTCCCAGCTTGTTCTGTGCTGTGCATTTAGATGTTGTTAAATCCACATCTTTGTTCCTTTCATGCAAGTGTGTTCCTTGTTCTTAATATCCTTGTGAAGAGAGTAATGACCCAAAGTCACTAAAACAGATTGTAAATGGGACTTTACAGTGCACAGTTTTCAGCTGTGTTTCTCCAAATTAAAAACAGAGACTACATTGAAGTTTCTTCATTAGAACTTCTCAAGCATATCACAGTCAAAGCAGTGAAAGATGCTGTCAAGATGCAAGTAGGTTCTCCTCTTTGCAAGCTTTCTGTTGACATTCCAGTTTGTCTACAGTTTCTCTTAAACCAAACCATTTCCTGACTAGTGAAGGAAGCTGCTGCTGGTATAACCACAAAGATACAGCCAAAGGCACATCACAACTGTAACTCGAAGATAAACTAGTGAAGAACACAGTCAAACAGACCTTCCCGTCAGTCAATGAGAAAAATCTACTGAATCAATGATCTAAACATGTTCATTAGGTCAGACTGATTGTTGTTGTAGAATGATCAAGGTTTTAAATACAGTTGGTAGAATTTTGGTTGAGTGTATTTTAGTCTTTATTTGTACTTAAAATAACGTTACTTAAAATTAAATTTGCTTAAAGTACCAAGCCATTTTGGGTATCTCACTACTACTTAAGGTCAGTGAAAGCAAACAATGATCTGTGTTGAGGTAGACACAGTCGTTTGTCACCACTTCATGCGCTCAAATTGCAAACAAATGTTAATTGAGAAACAAAGAACTGCTTCAGAATATTTGTCACTAGAAGTTTAATGGCTATCTAGTCACTGGTGAAAAACAAGAACGAATCAAAAAAGACAGAGTCCAGGGTTTTCAGTGTCAGATGAATGAGGCACTTCAGAATGACAATAAAATGGAATATTCGAAGTTTTACAGTCACTAAAGTAGATTTTTAAAACTGAAACATTAAGAATATCATTTTTGCTTGTTTGAAATGGAGTGGTGGGTGGGTGGCAAAGAAGCAAGGGAAGACTGATAATTCTTTCTTATCTCCGCACAAAAATACCAAAACACCCACTCAAATTGTAACTTCAGAACAGCATCCAAAAATCTTACAGCATTAAAAAAAAAAGGGAAAAAAGTGGACATTAAACAGGAAGGGCATATGTTGCTAATGGCTCTTGGACATAAACGCAAAAATCATGGAAATAGACTATTTGAAAAGAAAGGAGGAGGAGTGAGTTGCAAAGAACATGGCATTTTATGAAAGAATAACGAGTGGGAAGGGATGGTAAATCTAAACCATACAAATGCAAGCTGGGTGCAGGGCCCAGTGCTTGAATGAAAGTTGAGGTAGAATGGGGCACATCACCAAGGCAAAATCCTGGAACACTTAAATGTATTGAACTCTAGCAGATGAAGAAGATTGTTCACCACCACCTTCTCAAAAGCACGCAAGGGTGGATCACAAACCCAATGTCCATGTTCCAAGAACAAATAAAAAGTACTCAAATGGTTTGGATCTGAACAGGCAAAACTAGTTGTACCATCAATCACAGCCATCTTCCTTTGTCTTGGGTAAGGCTCCAATCTCCCCTTCCAAACAAGCTTCTATCCACATTACATTCCCACTTGGTTCAGTAAGTATTCTGTCTCCATTCAACTTGTTGCATCTGTAGAACCCATTCTGTTCGCATTCTTCAGCATCCAGTAACAATTCTTCACCATCACAATTGTTGACACCACAACCCTGTTTCTGTCCTTCAACAATACTCTACTTTCTTTAAAAATCTTTATAAACTCACAATATAGTCAATCTCAACCCTTCTCCAAAGTTCTGGAACCACCCATGCCTTACAATGGAGTGCTCCTACCTCAGCTCAAGCACCTCCTAACTAATATCTACCTCATCTTCTCATTGTCATGTTATGGCTGCACAGAGCATTGGTAAGGCCACTGTTGGAATATTGCATACAATTCTGGTCACCTCTATAAGAAGGATGTCGTTAAAAGTTGAAAAAAGGTGCAGAAAAAGATTTCAAGCATGTTGCCCAGACTGGAGGGTTTGAGTATAGGGAGTGGCTGAATAGACTGGAGGTTTTTACTCCTGCAGCGTTGGAGACTGAGGGGTGACCTTACTGAAGTTTATAAAATCATGACACACTTGGATAGGGTGAATAGCCAAAGTCTTTTTTGTAGGGTGGGACACTCCAGAACTAGAGGGCATCGGTTTCAGGAGAGAGGGGAAAGATTTAAAAGGGACCAGAGGGGAAACTTTTTCATGCAGAGGGTGATTCATACATGGAAATGGAGGTGGCTGGTACAATAACAACATTTAAAAGACAGGAACAAAAACAAAGTTGCTGGAAAAGCTCAGCAGGTCTGGCAGCATCTGTGAAAGAGAAAACAGGGTTAACTTTTCGGGTCCGGTACCGCTTCCTCAGAACTGATTTACAGCATCTGCGGTTCTTTTGGTTTTTATTTAACATTTAAAAGACATCTGGATGGCTATATGAATAGGAAGGGCTGAGAGGGATATGGGCCAAATGGGACTATATCATATTAGCATATCTGGTCAGTGTGGACAAGCTGGATCAAAGAGTCTGTTTCTGCGCTGTATGACTACGTTTAGATGATCTTATCAATTTCTGCCTGTTTGCTGATCACCCAGCTTTTATAACCTCTACAGTTACCCTACCAATTAAATAATTTTAAAGTTTAACTTCTGAAATGCTTTTGTAACCTTTAAAATGTATACAAATCACACCATTTTGAGATCATCATGGTCCATTCCCTCACCTAGTTAAAAATTACACATACCTATATTCCTTGTATCCAGATCTTCATTTTCACTTGAAGTCCAAGATTCCTCCATCTCCGCTTTTAAATGTTTAGAATTTCTACAATCTCTTTAAATTTGTTCCCCCGACCCCCCCCATTTCTGTCCTGCTCCCCACCCCCAAAAACAAACAAACTCAATAATCAACAATTTATACCACACAAAAACATTTCCTGACAGAGCACTACTATGTTAAATGAAAGCCGCTTGTAGGACTTTGCATTATTGAAAGCGTTAAAGTATATTGTAATCAAAACCAATTTCTGAATTATTGCTTTTACAAAGACCAGTCCTAGTGCAGTTTTAACCATCTTTGGATCTATGTAAACTTGCTGGAAGTTTGCACTAATGAATCACAGCATGGTGGCTCAGTGGTTAGCACTGCTTGCCTCACAGCACCAGGGACCTGGGTTCGATTCTGCCCTCAGGCAATTGTCTGTGTAGAGTTTGCATGTTCTCCCCGTGTCTGTGTGGGTTTCCTTTGGGTGCTCTGGTTTCCTCCCACAGTCCAAAGATGTGCAAGCTAGGTAGATTGGCCATGCTAAAATTGCCCAGTGTTTAGGGATTTGTAGGTTAGGGGGATGGGGTCTGGGTGGGATGCTCTAAGGGTCGGTGTGAACTTGTTGGGCTGAAGGGTCTGTTTCCACACTGTAGGTATTCTATGTTTAAAAAAACTAAAAATCACTTGTTTTGTAGTTTAGACATTGGTAACTATGCAAAACTGAGGGTAAGTCCTATTGGGTTTCACATCAAACCTTCATTGACAGTGCAAGCTTTTACGAAGTACGTCCAAATGGAGGAAAAAACTCCATGTTCTAATACTACCTTCCTGGTATATTTTTCTCCACCATACTACATGTATTTTTTAACTTTTAGAAAAAAAAGATTTTTATTGCCATATTTTCTGAAAATTGCACAATCTATTTTCCTTCACTCGTGATAATTTGCAACACTACATGAATTTCCCTTTTCAATCACCAGACACCAAAGCAGTAGTGACACCAGTTTCATTTTGAATACAATCTCAAAACTGTGGAATAGGTGGCCCAAGTCCAGACAGCAACCCCAAAAAACCAGAGGGAAGAACTCCAGGCTACTTTCTCAATCTAGGGGAGATGTGGAAAATCTATTAAAATTTTTAAAATTAAATATTTGAACTTTTCCTGTATAAATTTTGAATATGTACCACTAGGGGGTGCTTACTTCAAATGTTAATTCTAGGTCAAAAGGCAAACAATAGGCTTTGTCCTCCAATCACAACAATGCCCACCCATTGTGCAATAACACTGCATGGAACTATCTGGTCAATTGCTCTTGCTCTTTGAAAGAGCTGTCCAAACAAAAACATTTGGCTGGTGGAAGCCGTGGCTCATCTGAAAATCAGTTGACGACAAGATGCCTGATAACGTCAGCAATAGGGTCGAGAGAGATGATGTGGAAGTAGAACCCAATGTAATCAGAATACTTGTGAAAGTTGACGTGTTAGGCTAATGATGTCACAAAGCAAACATGTGAAAAGGATGGCAGTGCAGAATTATATCTTTGGAAGCTGTCACATCAAACAAGGATAAACCAACTGTGAAGAATAATTGGACAGCTGGAGGATCATATCAAAGTGTTGTGATTGTAGATGAATAATAGATTCTCTTTGTGACTGTGGTATAATTCAAAACTCTTAAGGGACTACATAATTTCTTGCTGGACTACAAACTGGAGTGGATGTTTGACCCTCCTATGTAGCTGAAATACCAGTAAATAGAGGAACAGAGGATGAAGACTTTTTAAGCAATATCAACAGTGGGTTGGCAGTGATGGTTTTGAAAGGATATTTTTTTTTTTAAAAATAGGGAGCCATCTAAAAAATGTCGACTAGAATGAGGATAGAAAGAATGGGTGGATGACCAGCAATTTAGCTCAAGATAATTCAGACATTGATCTCACCTCATCCAAAAAAAAGGGAACAAGGGGTGATGGAAGAGAAACCAGTGAGCTGAGGGTTCTATGAACACAGCAAAGGCAGCTGGTGAGATGGTCTCAAACTTAGTGCCAAAGAGATCCACTAGCTTCTTGCACTTCCTGTCAGAGGTTGAATGTGGAAGGCTAGAAACAAATGATTAATTAATTGTGAGAAAATCCTTAAAAGTTATCTTTATACTCATCTTGGAGTGATGGGTGGTTTTGGCAAAATGTGAATTTAAAAATATGATATACTCTAACCAGCTAGTGGTCAATTTGTAGAATCCCTACAGTGCAGAAACAGGCCAATTAGCCCCTCCAAACAGCATCCCACACAGACCCAGACCCAGACCCATCCCCCTACCCCTTCCCCGTAACCCTGCATTTCCCATGGCTAATCCACCTAACTTACAGGCAATTTAGCACGGCCAAACTACCTAACCTGCACATTTTTTGGACTATAGGAGGAAACCTACACAGACACGGGGAGAACGTGCAAACTCCACACAGATAGTTGCCCGAGGGTGGAATTGAACCCAGGTTCCTGGCACATTGAGGCAGCAGTGCTAACCACTGAACCACTGCCGCCCGCCTCGTGCTTCTGAACCAAAAGGCTGTGGTGTTAGTTGCCACAGCAGAAATTAGTGCACAAAAATCTAGGTTTACGCTCCAACCTACTATTGAGCGAATGGTGTGTTGTTGGACAAAACATTAAACTGAAGCAAAAACCAAAAGAACTACAGATGTTGTAAAATCAGAAACAAGAACAGAAATTGCTAGATAAGTTCAGAAGGTCTGACAGCATTGTGCAGAGAAATCAGTTAATGTTTCCGGTCAAGTGACCCTTCCTGAAGCTTTGTCTACTTTAAGGTTGGCCGAGAAAATTTCTGGCTATATATGTTTTAAGAACCGCAGAATGTTACTCCCTTGTCAATATCTATACTTCGATAGAAATCTGCTATATTTCCTAACGTTAAAACTTGTTAGAATCTCAAAAGTACACCATTGGCAGTAAGATGCTTTGTGACAGTCTGAAGTCAGGAAAAGTAAAGTATTACACAAACACACTTTTTTCTTTCTAGGGATTCTACTGGAGAAACAAACCAGGAGAACAACTTTCCTGATTCCATCATCATGTCATTTTTCATGTTTTTAAATCAATCATTCTGGTAAAATATGGAATATTGAGTTTAATTCTAAAATGGATTGATATTCAAAAAGGGGAATATCCAAAAAATTAAGCTAAATTGGACAAAACTTGAAATAATATCAATTTCAGCATGCTACTTTCCCCATTCGGTGTACGGGCCATATGTCTTCTGTGCATACCACCAAGCATCAACAACTTAGACTACACTGTCAGTTGCCGCAATACATATAGATAGACAAGTTTCGCAGTTAGAATGGAACAGGAGAAGAGAAAGACACTATGAATAATGTAGATGAATTATTTCTCGCATTATACACTTGGAAGGCTGCTATGAAAGTATTTATTCCTTATATAAAGCTACTCTAATTGAATGTAAAATTATTAACATTAGATTATATTACTGGCATGAATATTTGCATGATATTTTCATCCAGTTTTTGATTCTTATTTCAGTCCAAGACACTCCAAAATTGGAAAACCTTGTCATTAACATTTGTACTGATAAATTTAGTTGATCCAAATAAAAAAAATTACTATCTTATAAATTTTTTTTATAGATAATGAGCATTATATCAAAGCAGCATATATGAAATCTGGAAACCTCTGAAAGAGGCAAGAGCCAGCCAATTTTCCCACTATGTACCAATCCACTGCAGCCTGGCATCTCCAGCATTCCATCACCAAATTCACTTATTAAAAAGATGTCAGTTTACATCGTAAGAGTTCTGGCTGTGGAAATCTGCCTCAACCCAAATGATTGCTTCGAGGGAGATGGAAGAGGATCAGTAGTGAAGCAGCATATTCAAAATTAGTATATCCAACATTTTAGTGTTCATATTAGGCCCACAAATTATTACTCCTAAACAAAATGAAATTTCAGAAATTTTAGATATATATTTGCTATATAAATCTGCACAAAAATGCTAGTTATAAGCAAATCAATAAACACGTGAATCAGTTTGTTCAATTATCTAGTTACATTTTAATAGAAGTGAAATTACTGCTAAATTTTAATATATTAAAAATGGTTAAAATTTTTAAAATTTAAAATACCAAATAGAAATGGTGAATTACCATACATGATTAATTACTGATATGCAAATAAAACTTTAAGAGCTTAAAAAGTTTTGATCGACAAAAAGACCCAATTCTTCCCCTCACCAATAAATTAAGATTTAAATAATTTATTAACTCTTTTCATCATTGCGGGTAATCAAGAGGCAGACGAAGATCTAAAACTGAAAATCGAACAAAACGTCTTTGAAAGAACATTTTGCCGGAAAAACAGGTTTTTATACACAAGTGGAACTCTGCTGCATTACTGCAGGTTATTTTTTTGTCTGAGGTAGGGAACGTGAGAAGAAGGTTTGCAAAAAAAAATCGTCATTTAAAGAAAAATGTTGCTTACGTATAATCCAGTTTCTCTTTAGTTGAAAAGTAAATTTTGCCAAACCCAAAACAATTTGCATTGTCAAAGCCCTAATTCATTCAGTGCCATTTGTTAACAATTGCTTGCTTACATTTGGCTTTGGTATTGCATGACGAACAAATTACAGATCATTGCACAGACCATTGTACCGCAGAAACATGGGTTCTTAACTCCGTGCGGAAATAAGCGACTGACTTCACTGCTCGCAAACCATGTGTGACAATGTCAATTTGCAACATTATTCGTGGTGCGCCTGTCGCTATTTATAACCGGCCAATCTGTAAAACATACTTAACTAAACCACGATTACTTTTCTTCCAACTTGAATTTCTTTAATCATTAAAATCGGGTAAACAAAAAGTGGCACAGGAAATAAAAATGGTCAACATAACACTAGGTTTAGATGGTAGAAATGTCACAAAAGCAGCTCTCAATTCTAACTGCGGCTACAAAACTTACCATGGCGAAACCCGACAATAAAGCGGACGTTCTGCTGGAGGCTTTGAGTTTGGCTCTGCTTAGATACAGCTTTCTCCAGGACAAAGCCTGCATCGAGTGCTCGTTCAAACTCATCTATTAAACTCCCCCACCTTCCCCGTATTTCAACTCAGTTATTAATCCTCGTTTGAAAGCGAGAGATAAAAAGTCCCAGTTTTGAACAGCAGCAAGTCTCCCAGGTGACGACTGTCGCGCGGTGTTCTTAAAACACAAGCGTTTCCTCCATACTTTAAAAAAGAAATTAAGGTTCCTTTGTTGCAAATTACACTCGCAGAACTGGATTTGTCGTGGTTTTGCTTCCTGACTCCACACAGGGTTTACGATCACACGAGATGCCCGCATTCGCGAAAGAAAAAGCACACAAGTAGCAGCACGTACGTAGTAGAATGAAGACAGCAGATCCAAATGCACCTATTAAAAGGGACCGACCTCTTCCATACTGCTACACTGCCCACTGGCTGGCTTGTGGCTATTATCCGCAAGCCCAACCCTGTCCGCGCTGCCTGTCAATCATCGCCCTCTGGACTCCGGGTGACGTTCCATTCCCCGCCGCGGCTGTCAATCATCCTTCCTCCCCCACCCCCAAATCGCGCGCGCGCGCGCACACACACGAGCGTGATGCGGGTGACGTTCCATTCCGGTCCGCTGCCGCCTCGTGTCAGGGAGCCTGATTCAAACTCTGACCCAGATTGGTTTCGCTGTTTAAGATACCATCACAACCTCCTACCCTTCTCCTTTCCACCACTCCCAATCCCGAGCTATTGGCTCGTATTATTGCCGCCTCTGCCAGTTTGTGGTAAGCACTGCAGGGATATTGATGATGATGATGATGATGATGGTGGTGGTAGTAGGAAGGACTTGAAAGTGTTTTGCATATAAACGGCTCTATAACCTTATGGTGCCGGGGGCGGACTCTGGGGCTTTTGTTTTGTCCCCTTCCATTTTCGACACCTTCCATCAAACACAACACACAAACCTCTCTTTGCAGTTCTCATATCAGAAGGAAATCGACCCGACATCGAAGTAAGTTAGTCCGATTAATGTGCTAGCTTACGGTTTGTACACACGTCTTTAGTCAGAGTCACTTTAAACGTACACGTAATGAAGGGTTAAGAGATTCTTAAAAACGAAGAACAAAGTTTAATCTAAAGCATTTTCCTGATTGATATTTTTTGTAACACAGATTAAAGCTGCATGATATTGATTTAAAGTGTGTGAAAATAAGTTGTAAGTATATTTTTTAAACAAATAACACTGAGTAGTGTTTGATGGTGTGGGGAAAGCATGGCAATGCAGGTTTTAGGAATTGCGAGGCCTGACAGGAAATCATGGAGGAGAATAGGCCATTATTATTTTTGCATAATTCCGTTTTTGTATTCATTTGTCACCATTCACGATTTGTGTTGCGAGTTCTACTGGAATATTCTGAACTATGCCAGTATTCTCATAAAAACAGTTTGGCCTTTGGAGGCTGGGCATTCGAGTCATCCTTTAAGGCATAAATTCAAAACCATCAATGATTGGCTGTAACATTTTGCTCGCCGTTAAAACTTACAAGTTCCTGAACACGATTTTATTGAACTGCCACCCCACACCCGCTAGAAGTGTGTTTTTGCCAGTCATTGAATTGCATATAAGGGTGAGCAGTCGGATGTGTGCTTCCCAATACTCAACAAGATGGCAACTACAAGGAAGCCTGAAATCCACACGGCCTCGCATGCGTTTGATGCAGAAGAAGGTGTTAATTAGACAGTGAAGGGACTGAGGCTCATGACAGCAGGAACTCATTGGAATTTAGAAGAATGAGGGGGATCTTGTCGAAACATATAAAATTAAGAAGGCAATAGATAAGACAGAAGTAGGGAGGTTGTTCCCACTGGTGGATGAAACTAAAACTTTGGGGCGTAGCCTCAAAATAAGGGGGAGTAGATTTAGGACTGAGTTGAGGAGGAAATTCTTCACCCATAGGGTTGTGAATCTGTGGAATTCCCTGCCCAGTGAAGCAGTTGAGGCCACCTGGTTGAATGTTTTTAAGACAAAGATAGATTTTTGAACAGTAAGGGAATTAAGTGGGCAGGTAGGTGGAGCTCAGTCCATGAAAAGATTAGTCATGATCTTATGGAATAGCAGAACAGACTTGAGGGGCCAGATGGATTACTCCTGCTCCTATTTCTTATGTTCTTATTAACTGTAAATTCACAACCACCATTTATGAAGTTACTAACCATTTCCTGCGCTACCAAGAAACATATAAAAAATTCACTCAAAACATCTTTTCCATCTTCATGACTATTGAAGATATACTCAGGTGACAATGTTGCTTTGCCAGGTCTGCCTTAACATTCTCTGACTGCCACTGTTATGATGATACGTTTTGCCATAATTGATTGAATGATTGCCTGGTGACTTTGAAGTTTGAATGAAGTGGCTGCACCACCCACAGGTGACATTTTAGACTTGGCATAAAGATAAACATTGTTTGGATTATTGTGTAGTAGGAGGATTTTGTTCTGATTTTGAGTTTTGTGGATGATACTTCTCTCTGGAGGAAAAAGTTTGAACATGGTTGTTCTATTTAGGTGACTCCTTGTTTGTGTATTTACATTGAGGTATGAACAGGGTATTTTGCTAGTTGTTAGTCTGTCTTGAATTGGCTTAAAGTCATTTATGCAAGGGATAGCGCATGTGGAGAAAATAGCTTGATGTAACGTCCAGTTTGATTGGTGAAGAATTTTAGACTGAAATTGCATTTGCTATTTAGAATCAAAGAATGCCTATACCGTGGAAAAAGACCATTCGGTCCATTGGGTCTACACTGGCCGTCTGAACAGCATCACATCCAGCCCCAGCACTCCCATCCCTGGAACTCTGCAATTACCTTGAATGGATCTCACTGGGGCCTGGTCATTAATGGATGTATTGGAACAATTGCTGTTCCTCATTGATGTGGACTTAGATAAAATTATTCCAGACTTTTCTGATCTTATAAGAATTTCTTTACAGGTCAGTTGTTCAGACCAAATTTATGAATTCAGGAAAGGTATAGATAGGGCTAATGGTAGATGTCTTTTCCTTAGGATGGGGGATTTCAAGATCAGGGGGCACATTTTGAAACTGAGAGCAGAAAAATTTTAAAAAAGATATGAGGGGCAATTTTTTGTTTTTTACAGATGGTGGTTTACATGTGGAATGAACTTCCTGAGAAAATGCTGGATGTGGGCATAGTTACAACATTTGGATAATTCATGAATGGGAAGGGTTTGGATGGATGTGGGCCAGGAGCAGGCAGGTGGGACTAATTTAGTTTTGGATTATGTTTGGCATGGACTGGCTGTATGACTGTATGACTCTATGACTATGACAATTTAGACTAGGTGAGTGATCTTGAGTGGCAGTGTGCTTAATTTGCACAAATATTGAGTAAAGGTAACTAAGAAAGAGACCTGAGATCAATAATTGACCACACATTAAAGATACACAGCAGTGTGCATTGATTATAGGGAAAACAAGTAGGATTTGAAGTCATATTATAATTTAAATAATATGTTAAGTGTATGAAGTATATGCCTGCACTTTCATGCAGATATGAAAGATCATGTGGCACTGTTTTAAGAACAAAGAAGTTCCCTTGGTCCGTGGCCATTTCTGTTCACTGTATATGTCTATGATCCATGCCTAGAGGAAATAGTGTCAGCATTGGCACAATACCAGAACAGGGGTACAGTAAATTCCTTAGAAAACCAAAGAAAGTTGCAAAACACTATTGATTTCAGTAATTGTGAGGTAATTTTGATTTAACAAAACACTAATAATTTACATGCAGTTACTGCTTGGAAACTGGGGCTATGTGATAGTAAAGGAGCATCATAGGGAGTACAGAATATAAAATCGAAGGTGTCATGATTAGCAGCATTCATGTGCAAAGAAAGATATTGAGGTTTTAGAAAAGGTGCAGTACGGTTCACTGAGGTGTTGCCTAGGATAATTAAATACATATATGCGAAGAAAAGCTTGAAACATTGGGGCAAAACTCAACATAGTGCTGTGTAGTGCACCCAACCTTTGATGCTGAGGATGCTGGAAATAATACGTGAACATAGCATCCCCCTTGGCAGATATTTAAACCTTATTCCTCAGGGTATTCTGGTTGAAGATGAGGAAATGGTGGGGGCATGTAAAGACAGGGAACTTCTGCTTACAGCATCAAAACAAATATCAGCCATGGGAAAATCTGATGTAATATGAGATTGAGGCTTTCTCCTCTGACATTAAACTTGAGTTATTGTGAAGGATAAAATAATTAAGATCTACATTAAATGCTTCTTAGTTTTAATGTAACAATTTTGAAATGACTCTTTATCAACTACCATTTTAGCACAATTTTTGCAACTCTGCAATGGTTAATCAAATTGCAGTTTGAAAAATCCTTGATCATTAGATTTTCCCTCCTTATTTTTTACATTTTTAAAAGAAAATCATTTGTTTCCCTGCTCCTATTGGGTTCAAGTTCTCTTTACGTCATCTCTAATTTATTTTACAGCTGTCATTCTTTCCTGGTGATTATTTTTGTTTGCTCTGCTGGTTTCTAAAACAAAGAAATTGTGAAAAGGGAGGAACTAAAGGGAATCAAAAAACAGAGATCAAAAGAAATGAATCAAAAAGGAAAATAACAGGATATAATAACAATATTGATCGATTTTAAAAACATGAGAGAATCCCATACTTGATCAAATATGGAGATTCGATGCTGCATCTCCTCATTTGATGAGATAAGGATTTCATTGGTTGTTTTTGAACACTGACAGAGACGTAATGTAAATGAGCACAGGCAGTGGGCTGCAGTTCCAGGAGAGAATTGTCTTTTTTACAAAATATTATTAGCTTCTTAAATGCACCTTGGTCTGAGAGAAACCCTCTTCACCTAGATTGACTGTAGAAACACAAAGCGGCAATGTTTTCCTTGCCCAGTCTCACTAAAACTGAAATTGATTGCATCATTGCTGCCCCCAGCCAAACAAACAAATTCATCTCAGGCTTGAAATCAAACCTGTAACGACAACCACTTGTATTTATGTAGCATTGTCAGCTTAGTAGAAGGCACCAAGGCGCTTCACAGGAGCATTATTCATCAAAATTTGACACAAAACCAGATAAAGACATTTTAGGCAGAAGTAGCTTTTAAAAGGTGTCTTAAAGAAGGAGAGAGGGAGAAGTTTATGGAGCCTCGGTTCTTTATAGTTGAAGGCGCGGATGTAGTAAATCAAGGGTGTTCAGGAGCCAGAATTGGAGGACTGCAGATATTTCAGATGGTTAGTTAGAGAAGGTTACAGAAACAGGAAGGGCAAGGTCACGTGTATGAATTTTAAAGTTGAGACATTGCTTAAATGGAAGTTGGGAAGGCAGGGAGAATATATCAGAATAGCCAAATCGAGAAATATCAAAGGCACAGGTCCAGGTTTCAGCAGCAGATGTGCTGAAGAGTGAAGCCAGGTGATTGATACACAGGTAGAA